GCTCGTTTAGCTCGCGAGCTGGCTCGAGTTGGCTCGTTATAGCTAACGAGCTAAAATCTTGGCTCGGCTCGGCTCGTTATCGTAACGAGCCGAGCCGAGCCGAGTCGAGTCAGCCACGAGCCGAGCGAGCTAACGAGCTTCGAGTTTTTCGTCCAGCCTTAACCGACGCCTATGTGGTTGTTGTCGGTGGACGGACCGTATGCCAAGAAAGGAAGCCCCGGGATTGAGAGCAGAGCTGAGCTGAAGCGGACCAGATTTGGCCAGTCGGTGGCCTCACCTCCACCCTCAGCGGAAGAGTTGATTTGGCTTTATTTCCTTCACATATCACAATGAATTAATTAGCTGAATCACCTGCCATTCATCAACCGGGCTGGGTCAGCTCAGGAGTTCGGACACCTGCAAGTAAACATCGATCGATTCGCTGTCTATACAAGCTATATGTCGTGCTAACTTGACAAATTAATAGAGCATGCACAACATGCATGTCATGTGGTAGTAGTGTGCCAATGGAAGTACCTTTATACTCTACTGCTCGCTGATCTGTACATGCTCCAATGTCGAGGATCGTTCAAGGAGTTAATATTAATACCACCAGATCCAAGGTTTAGGTAGGCCCTGCCCATTTGAATCAAAAAACATATTAATACCAAAGATGAAAAGAACAGATCTCATTGCGTACTGTACTGGGTTAATTAGAAGTCTCAGATCGAGGTCAGGAATATATGTTTGCAATTAACCTCCACTAATAAAAGCCAGCCACATCATCACGATCCATCTCTCGCCACTTTCAAGATCAATGAGAGGGAAATAGAGTGAGTTTTTTTTTTGAGCTGAGCTTCAGTTTCTGAAAGGGCCAAATAATATAGATATGGCCGGTCGGGTTATTATGAAAAGCAAGAAAAGGTCAGGTACATGTCTGGGTTTTAGGCATCCGATATCACAACTTACTCGAAACCTTCTTAATTTTTTATCATAGCATCTACATGCGATAACATGACGCCCCGACAAGTTTCGTGATTTTCGGACTTTGTTCGGATTTTATATGATTTAAATACACTTTTTCCGCAAGTACCTCGTCATGTTACGTCAACAAGATGCTCGACATTTCATGTGAGTTCCTGGATACGGCCTCAACATACACCAAATATCATGAATATCATTTTTTGAATCATTAAATTCCATTATTTCATGCACCTGCAGTTCAAATTTGAAGTATGCCAAAAAATTCAACGAAACAAAAAAAATTAACAAAATATACCAAAAAAAAATCCAAATTATCCTAAATTTGAACAAGGAGTTTTAAATAATGTGAGAAGGCCTCACAAAAAAAATGGGGCAAAAAAAACAAAAAAAAATTCTTCCTCGAGTGCCTTCCCTGGCACTCGGCAAAGAGGCCCTTTGCCGAGTGCCATGACAGGGCACTCGGGGAAGCCAGCCTCTTTGCCGAGTGCCAGGGTGCGACACTCGGCAAAGCAAATTTTTTTTAGTTTTAACGGCGTGAGCGGGCTGGGCCATCAAGTAACATTTTTCCTTTGCCAAGTGCCGCTCTTCCCCGAGTGTTGCACTCGAGGAAGAGGGCCTTTGCCGAGTGCCGCTCTTTACCGAGTGCTAGGCACTCTGCGGCACTCGGCAAAGCCTCTCTTTCCCGAGTGCAACACTCGGGGAAGATTGGCTTTGCCAAGTGCCCGATTTTTGGCACTCGGGAAAGCCTGCGACACTCGGGGAATTTTGCCTCTCCCGTAGTGGGGCGACCGTCACGAGTCGAGGGGCTGCTGTGCCGGGAGTCATAGGGAGGGAGGGAGGGAGAGAGAGAGAGAGAGGGGCAGATAGAGTGAAATGGAAAACACAGGGAGGATATATATGGGACGGTGGGTTCAAAATCCAAGTGCTCCGCGCGCTACCATTCACAGGCTAACACACGGACGCATAGGCCCACCTGTCATCGGTCACTTCGAGAAAGTACACGCTGTTCTAATAAGGATCCATACATGCTGTAATTTAGATGCAACTTGCTCTTAAACGTACACATCTTTATGTTGATTTGACATGATCTGGAGACCTTTGAAACCAACATTTGGTTGCGTTCCACGGTCGACACATGGCAGCCAGGTTTGCACTTGGACTCCTGGTTTGCTTCCTCCAGTCCCCTCCGAAAGCGATCGCCATTTCCTTCTCGTTTCACTGGTGCAACATGATGATAAGAGGAGAGGGGTCTATCGCCACCATTGAATCTTTCTTCATCTCCTTTTCCATCCCCTCAACGCACGGATCGATCGGATGATACCAACGTCTTTTCCACTTGCCTTCCGCTCAAGTGGTTTTAATTGATCGCAAGAGTCTAAGGCTATGCCCATTAGGGTAGGTTACCTACGCGCGCACCTTGCGCGGGCGACGCCGACGACCATGACGCCGGCGGCGAACGAGCGACGGCGACGACGACCACGGGCGGATCTACAGGGGGTGGGGGGGCTCCAGCCCCCTACAACTGGTGCATCAATGGAAATATAGGGAGGGTGAGGGAGAAGAAGAGGTGGAGAAAAGAAGAAAAATGGAGAGAGAGATGAAAAAGAAGAGACCAACCCCCTTTAATCTTGTTCTGCATCCGCCACTGACGGCAACCATCGATCGGCATGTGTGTGTTGGATCATCAGGACGTGGCAGCAGCTGAAGTGACAAGTCCATGGACGACCGTAACTTGAACACGCTACTCTTGCTTATGTTTCACGGCCGGCCGGCCTTGTTATTGTTCCAGCGAATATGTGTCGATGATAACTAAGCAGGCATATACAGGGATCAAAGCCTAAATTTGATCGTGCTGCACTACTTGCATCCATCTCTTGACCGGTGACTACACCTTAATTGCATGTATGATAACTTTTCCATCACGCATGAATTCTGCACGTTTCCGCGTACTGTTCCGTGGAGAACAATTTATGCCATGCATATCCAGTTCACACGTACTACTAGTAGTGAACTGGATCAGGATTAGTGGAATCACAGCTAGCTAGCTAGCTAGTGGAGGGGCTAGGAAAGAAGTGCTTTCTACAGCATCCAAATCTTAACGAGCACCAAAAAGAGAGAAGTGATGTAGCTGGAAAAGACGCACCTACATTAGCTAGTAGCTTATAGCCAGAGAGATTATTCATATTCGTAGGCATCAACGACGGCACCTTGCTTTCTCCTGGCCATCTTAATTAATCGTAATCATATGGAGAGAAATGATCAGTCAGTGTTGTCCAATTAAAAAGCCAGTGTGGACCAATTTCATACGTAAATCCACCAGCAGCAAGTAATCTTACCATTCCATGACAATGCACACACGACAGCCGCCTATGAGTAAATGAAGCGATTATCCAGATAGATCGCTGCCACCTGGCCACATTACAACCGTCCAGATTCCAGAATAATACTAGTACTAGCTAAATTCCGTCCTCTGCTGATCTGCTCCGCCTATCTCGCCGGCCGTCTCCGGGCAGCTCATTATCATTATTTAATTTTCAAAGCTCAAATCAGAGCGGGCGGGCTGCTAGCGCAACAATTAGAAGCAAGAACAGAGATGGATGCATGTGTAAGCCTTCAACACTTGCGTTTTATTTGAAATTAATGTTCGCCAGCAACATGTAGTGTGCATGTTTGGACGCATATATGGCCAGAGATTCACCATGCATGATTAGTTGCAAGTTCCCATCAGGACTACCCGTCTGTGTACGTACGTGTACACGCATGAGCTGGATGGGAATGTATCCGTAGGTTTAATAGTGCCAGTTGGGACTGAAGTGCTAGCCAGGTTCATGCATGAACATGTCATGATGTAGGCAAGTTAGGGGTTTAATAATAATAAGTAGAAGGTGGGGGACATCGTACTGCAGAAATCTATCATCGTCCGTACTGCATGTTGCCAAAGAAAAGCTAGCCTTGGTTACTTCGTTGAATGTAGTACTGATGTGTACTTAGGTTAAGTAATGCCGTCCTTTCCGTGAAGCTGAAAATTTTTTTATGCATGGCCGTCTAACTTGGCACGAAGCGGGTAATTATTTACTCCCACTTCGATCGGCCTATGTTATGTCTCGCTCCATAAATAATATATCCACTTCCTTCCTTGCCACGTAAGGTTCTGGCATCAGATTGTTTTCTTCTTGTCGTTCAAAAAATATTCTTGTATGTTAGTCTATCAATCCATACTCCCGCACAGACAAAAATCATATAAGACATATAAGAACTAAATATTCATGTTTAATATCAACAACTAATAAGAATTACTTATTTTGCATTGCTTACATTGAAGTCCTCAACTTGAGATGTGTCATTATTGTATTTCCCTAGATTTATTTGGCATTTAACGGTACTATTCTCTTAGTGATAGAGAGTTTTGCGACCTAGAGACAATCCTATCAACATGCATTAATGAATACATTCATGCTGGTTGCATGGTTAATTCTCTCTAAAATGAACTACGGGTTGGGAGCTAAAAAAGTAGCTTCTCCTTATTCACTTCATGCACTTTAGTTAGAGAATCACTGAATGCACGGAGTTTATACTAGAGAATCATAGGGAATCAATTTTAGTTAGAGAATCACTATATGCACAGAGTTTATACTAGAGAATCATAGGGAATCAATTTTAGTCAGCAATTTTCCCATAGAATCTAAAACGGTAGAACCAAAGTATCTAAAGCGAGGAAATCTCAGTGGCCCAAAGAGGGAAAATGGCTTTTTCCAAGACATTTTGACGGGCCTGCTTTTTTTAGTGGATTTTGACAGGCCTGCTACAATCCGGCAACTCGTTTCTCCACCCATAAAGCCCGTGTCAGTTGGGATGTGTCTTCGACGATTGTCCCATGTCGATTTCTGTTGGGCTGTGTAGCCCACAAAGGGCTGCGAGGACTATAGTTGTAGATTTTCAGCGAGTCCGGACCGCGAATTTATCCAAATTTACAGTCACAGCACTAGTGAAAACTCAAAAGCTGAAGACACTCCCTCTAAAAGGAAAGAAAAACAAAGTCACTGTGTGACAAGTTTTGATGAGAAACCAATAGTTATATGTATATCATTTAATTCCATAATTGTTTCATAGTGGATGGATTCCATCATTAACCAAAAATCCTGTTCAAAGTGGCGGCTAATCTGACGCCGCCTTGTGCTAGCCTCAAGTTGACGATCGGCAGTCTGCTGGAGAAATAGGGATCTGCACCAAGAACGTAAGCACAAATTAATTAGCTTTTTCTTGCTCCCTCAAGTTAAAATCATTCATCAATACTCATCTTAATAAGAGGCACACACTACAGAACAGTAATGTAGGCATTATGTTAATTAAAAGAAGTAATGTGCTAGTATTAGTACTTTAGTACCTTCTAAGGTTGAGTCTTCCTCGACACCCTTGTATGCCCAGTCGCATGCTGCAGTAATGCTCTCAGATGCATATTTTGCAGCATTTTACCAGAAATCCAGTCAAAAACCAAAATAGTAATCTTACTAGAGGATTTGCAATATAAAGAAAAATCATGACAATTATTGAAATAATAATCAACGGAAAAAAACTCAAGCTTATGCAACAACATACAAAAATCAATTAAATACCCAAGCAAAATATCTGAATGCGAAGTAAAGCATACATACATGTCTGGACATGCAGTCTGGTTCTTGCCGCATGCTTCCCAGCTGGACACTTGCTCCGACCATTCTCCCTGCTGCAGAGCGAATGAAGGTCTCAATAATTAGCGTCTCTCTCTCCCTATCTATAGAAAACACTTAATCCTAGTTTCATACCGTTATGTTTTTCTTCAGGGTGTCGATATAACCGGCTACACTGTCTCCGTAGAAATCGTCTTCAGCCGTCTGGATGATGCTGGAGTCCCAAACCTGACAATTGGTGCAGAAAACAAAACATGTCCCAGCATTTAGGTTCATTCAGATTTCAGGATCATGGCAGTGTCCAATGTTTAGCCTGAACATTAGACGTACATGGTGTAGAACGGTCTTCCTTGTGTACCAGTGGACGTCGATGGTGTTCCCTCCTTTGTCAGAGGTAAATCCCACATGAAGTGGCTGTAAAATACGGCAGTAGTTCAGTGTACAGTCAATACTTAGTGATCAGATACAGTATTGATCTGATCACACTAAACAGACACATCGATCTTGTTGCGGTTTCTACCTGGTGTATGTCTCCGATGAAGTGTGAAAGGAAAAGAAGCGCTTGTGTCAGGTTATCTGCAGTAAAGAGAAACGTTTATGACTGTCACCGCATTACCTAACTTTTTCTTTGAAAGAAAAGTTTATCAGTGTCACTATCACTATTTAACAACTGAAATTGTTCAGAGTTTTGCTTGTTCGCGAAAAAAAAAATTGTTCAGAGTTTTGCAGAACTGGAGCATGAACATTACATTCAGGGGAAGAAGATCTTCTGTAGGTCAGGAGTTGCGAGGTGTAGTTGTTGATGGCGCCCGCGACGCACCGGCCCTTGACGCCGTCCTCGTCCTTGCAGTCCCCTGACGAAACAGAAAACGACGCAGGAGGAGGAGGACCATGAGCACAGCAGGCTTGCGTGTCACATTTCAGAAACTCCCAACGAGTGGCGTGGTGGTCGCTTATTACTGTCGTAGCTGTAGGTGCAGAGGCCGTCGGGGGTGTCGATGTAGTGGAGCGGCGGCGACCTCGGGTACCGGAACTTGACGTCGTCGGCCCAGGAGCAGAGGCTGCTCAGGTTGTTGCCGGCGTAGGACGGCAGCAGGTCCTTCACCGCCGCCGCCGCAGCGCCACTCAGACGGCCCTGGACAGCATTCGCACGCAGTGATGTGTCTCAGTCTGAATGGACAAATTCGCAGAGTATAACAATAGTAGTGAGAAAGAAGCAGGCTTGCCTGTGCGATCTGGCAGACCATGAGATGGCCGTCGACTCCCCAGGCGTGCGACGGAGCCGGGAGCGCAGCCAGGAGGAGGATCAGCAGCAGCGGAAGCGTTCCGGCCGCCTCCATCCTAATTTCTGAATTCTGAGTCCTGGGGGACCGATCGGAGCAGCAGAGAGATGTGGTTTAAAACAGGAATGCCATGAGAGAGGGAGGGATCTCCGGACGGAATGTCGACATGGCCGCATGGGCGGGATACGGCACAACTGTCGGATATCCTGTCGGATTACGGGCCATGAACGCTCATCGCGCTCACACCTCGTTGAAATCTGCAGACCCTGTTCAGACTGCTCTCCACCTTCTTCTAATAAAGAGCCGGAGCTGCACGCCGCTGCCGGCCTGCATCCATGGGGAGTTCATCAGCGCCCGCTCGAGCTTTCACACTCTAAAAGGAAATCAAGAATATGCAGGCCAGCATCTTTTAGTTTATATATATTATATTATACTATATATAATAATAAGGTGCAAAGGCCAAAGAGGATTTGTGCAAATTGAAAGCACCGTCAGCCCGTCGCTTCGGAAACAACTGCAGCTGAGAAAATACAAACACCATAGACAACTCATCGTACACTAGTTCTTTTTTTTTTTTTTTATATCCAACTCTTTTTTTAGAAAAACAAGATAGTTGCAAACATGTGACATGTACCCTATGGTCCTATATTTTATTTATCTATCCTATAAATGGCTCTGAAAGACTGGACCTCAAATCTTGAAGACAGATGAATATTTGGGGGAAAATACGGGCACTCTGCGGTCGTGCTGGGTTGGATATGGCCACGTTCTACCCAAGATACATAACCAAATGAGACATTCAATTTGCGCAGGTATATAATATCGAAGGCCTCGAATCAACTAAGAAACTCAAGAAATGGAAATTCTATGTGGTGTTTCGGAAACTGTTTTAAGTCAAACTTTTAATACTCTAACTATAAATAACTTTTTAAATTATTTACTCTATAAATTTAAAGATCATATGTATAGATTTGTCTTGGGAACTACTTCTGTAAAAACATAAAATAATTACGATATTTATTTATATTTAAATAAGAATAGTGTCGAATTTATACTTTAGAGGTTGTTAATATCCAAAATGTGCGTTACTTCCTCTATTCTAATTTATAAGTTGTTCTAGTTTTTCTAGTCAGATACACACTGTACATACATATCTTTTACTGTATATCTAAAAAGTTAGAGCAACTTATAATTTAGAACGGATGGAGTATTTACAACCTAGATGGAGTACTATTATTACTCCTATTTCTTTGTAAAAAATCATTGTTTTATTTTCTTTATCATCTTTGAATCTGATTTGTTTTAGTAAGCCAACACATCATCTTTTTGGTTTTCTAATAAATAATATCCGTAATCAATGGAAAATAATATGGGTTCACTGCCTAAAATAGAAAGATGTGTAGAAACAAAAATGGGACATGTATATTTAACTTTTCTTTTGAAACACAATACAGACTTATATATTAACATACGTATATGTAAGCACACTCGCTCCTATATGTACACATCTATGTTTTATGAACAATCTCTAACAGATTGAGCCGAAAAAACTTAAAATTAATCAAGTTACGCTTGAGCCTACTGGGCCTAAATCTGCATCGACGTGTTTCGGCCTATCCTTTTATCGAGGCTAGGCCCAAAAGCTACCGCTTGTATTTCCTCCTCCCAAAATTCCCGAACGGCAACAAATAAATAAGAGAGAATTCTGTATTTGGCACTGCAATAAATCACTGTTTCATTTTTGGCACTGAAAATTTTGAACTTTCTTATCTAGCATCAACTTGAAAATTCCTTCCATATATGACACTTCCGTCCATTTGATGCATTAATGGTGTCAAGTGCCACCTAAAATGACATATATGCTCTTCTATGTACCAGCGACATATAGTGCCAGATAGGAAAAGAATAAATGGATATAATGTCAAATAAGAAAAGCACAAATATCACAAATATACTTGTGAATGAAACATAGCATTTTGATAATTGAAGAGTGGCAATAATAATCAATAAATTTGATGCACAAGCTTCACAAATCTGACCACATTATCAGTATACTTAAAAAACAAAAAAAATATAAACACCTTACACACCTCACATTAGCTCAACAAATCCATACAATAGGGGTCTAAGTTCACACGTCCAGGTTCATAAATATATATATATTACCAGGTTCATAAACATAAACACATGAAGGTTCATACATAGGGGGTCTAAATTCATATTACATAATAGCAGGTTCATGATACACACATCAGTTGCACTATATTATAGTTCATAGAGCATATGCCTTACACATTGTCAAGCACATCTACATAGAGAATCACAAGCTCAACCTTCTCTTGCTTCTTGTGCTATTTGCAGGACTAGCAAGTTTAGCTGTTTTGTTTCTGGTGTCCATTGCAGGGCTGTCAAGTGATAGCATAGGAATTTTTTTCAGGTTTGAAGCAAGCTGTTTCTTGGTCCTTTTAGCCTTCTCCTTTGTTGGAGTATGAAATTCGGTGGAAATTGGCTCGGGTTGATTGGAGCCGCTTCTTGACCTGCACATGTACATATATCAAAGTTGAATTTAGATGTAACAACAACAGGAAGAACTACCATATCAAATGTAACATGTTACCTTTTTTATGCTCTAGAGCTGGAGTTACCATGTTTCTCATTTTTCTTGCTTGTAATCTCCATGCTTTGGCTATGGTGAGAGAAGATTGATAATTAGGTTCTCTAATTAGATTGGAAACCATGTTTCATTAAAATAAAATACAAAAGAGATATTAATACCAGTTCGAACTCTTTGAAGATCCAGATGTAGAGTTAGGCTTTTTTCTCTTCTTCTTACTTGTTATCTTCTTAATTGGAGACTTCTTAGTTGTAGTTCCCAAGCTTTGACTATGTTATCAAACAATATAATTACAAATTAGCTTTGACTATGTTATCAAACAATATAATTACAAATTAGCATAGGTGAGCAGATTTTGTACATAGAAATCAGCACAAGTGAGCAGATTTTATAATTAGAAATCAGCACAAGTGAGCACAAGTAAGCAAATTTTGTACTTCAAAATTTACAAGCGAGCAGATTTTATACACACAAATCAGCAAAAGTAATCAGATTTTGCACAAGTTCATAGATTTTGCACAAGTGAGCACATTACCTAGGTGGAAAAGACATAGATAGCGTTGGTACTTCATCCTCTAAAGGCATAATATAACTTTGAGTAGATTTTATAGTCTTTGCCTTCTTCTTTTGTGGTCCTCTACATTGAGCAATAAGAGATTAGTAAGTGGGTTGTAGCAAATTATTTGATGCAACAAAATATGAACACATTTCTTACCTCATAGCCTTCATAGCTTCAATGTCAGCCGGTTTGCCTTTTTGCAATTGTGCCAATAATGCCCATAGTCCAAGCAAATAGGACACTGGTGCTGGCCCTTTCTTTTTTTCTTCTCAGTGCCACCTTTATGCCTCTCAGTTTTAGGCCTACCAGCTACGGGTGTCAATAGTGGGGGATGCATAAAAAACCCATGGAAAGATTTAGGCCATTGCATCTTATCAATCATAGTAGGTATTAGTTGGGCATAGGTTGCTTTAAATTTTTCAATGGAGTAGTAAGAGTCCACATGCATCTCTATTTTACCATTAGCAAGAGCTGTGATGAATGCAAGAGCATGTTTGCATGGAAGACCATAAATTTGCCACTCTCGACAAGAACAAGTTCTATCTTCCAAGTTAACCATAAATCTGAAGCCACTACCTCCTAGTGCAGTTATTTCAACAACACGTGGTCCACATTCAAGCACTTTCAAGTTTAGTTCTCTACTCTTTTCATTAAGCTCCTTGATTATGTGTGGCAGAATCAATCCATCTAGTTTCTGTCCAATCTTCCTCCTTTGATGCCACTTCGTCATAACCATTTGCCTAATATTGTCCATCAAGTCATCTAAGTTCATGGATTTGTGAGGCTTGATCCAATTGTTGAAGCTCTCTGCCAAATTATTTATAACATAGTTAACTTTACATATGATCAAGAACTGACTCCTAATCCACAACTTTTCGTGGCATTGCCTTAGATAATCTGTTGCGGCTAACCTAGCCACCTCCATTGTTGCCTAATGTTTCTCAAATAAATAGGAGTTCCACGAGTATGCTGCAGGCCAAAGATGGTCATCAAATACCTTTCCATGTAATTTCTTCTTAAAGTTTGACACCAAGTGAAACATGCATTCTCTATGTTCAGATGCATTCTCTATGTTCAGCTTGTGGAAACACTTCTGCTATCCTTGTCATCACAGCCTGTCCAACATCAGTGCATATGGCTAAACCCCTCGGTGATCCAATCGCCTCTCTAAGCTGACTCATGACTCATGTGGAACTTTCGAGTACCCCGGAGGATACCGTTGAACAATGGATTGAACAAGGTCCGTATAATTTGTGAAATCAGCATCCACAACCTTCTCCAAGGAAAAACATCTCACATCCTTGCTACTTTTCTTTGATTGCCAAGAAGGTGAATTTTGAGCAAGTAACTTGTATCTGTATCTCCATTCTGTGTGTCCAAACAACTACTACACGAGCATTTGTACGGTACAACTATTGCTACTGGATTGTACTGGAGATTAAGAGGATAAGATGAACTCACCCTTTGTGACCATTCATGCTTTCTTTGGTGTTGCCACGGATATGCATCGATACCGTTGCCCTTGGGACCATCGTGCTCCACGGCCCTCTGCTGGACCTCATGCACACTGAACATCCTGGAACCAGCCCAGTGGCGAGGACGCCTGTCGCCCCCGCCTCGAGATGGGGCCGTCTTGGTGGCCGAGCCCGCCCGCCCTGTTGCCCGCCCTGCGAGACCAGGCCGATCTGCCACCATTGGGAGACCTCGGTGAGGGACCCGGCGCCTCTAGTGAAGGAAGGCGCCAGATTTCTGCTGGTCGTCGAGCTGCATCCTCATCTCCTCCGGCTTCCATCTAGGGTTTTGTTTTTTTTTTTGGAAGAAGCCTGCGGGGAAGAAGGGGAGTGAGCGTCTGAGTTTGTGGCGATTTTGGAGCAGGTGTGTGCGACCAAATTAAATAGAGGGGTATTTTGATACTTATCAAGAAAAACTGACATGGTTAAGGAAGTCAACAAATGGATGGATGGCCAAAATGGATGGAAGTGCCATAGAAGGAATTTTTAAGTTGATACTAGATAAGAAAGTTTAAAATTTCCAGCGACAAATACGGAAGAGTAATTTGTTTCAGCGGCAGATACACAATTCTCCGAATAAATAAACCAGCCCAACACCAAAGCTCATTCCACGAGGCGACAAACCTTCCATCAAGAACAGAGCGGCCACGCAGAGGAAGGCAGAGGAGAGCCGAGAGCAGAGAGACATGGCGCCCCACCAGCGGGTGCTGCTCCTGTTCCCACTCGTCTTCTTCCTCCTCCTCCTCGCCCCGCACCGCGCCGACGCGTGGGGCAAGGAGGGCCACATCATGGTCTGCAAGATCGCCGAGGTCGCCCCCTATTCCGCACTGGGAAAGTCAGATCGAATTGTAGGCAGCAGAGCTGGGCCAGTGCTTCTTGTTCCTGGATTCTGATGGATGCCTCTTGTGCGGCGTGCAGAAGTACCTGTCGGAGAAGGCGGCGGCGGCGGTGCAGGCGCTGCTGCCGGAGTCGGCGGGCGGGGAGCTGTCGACGATGTGCCCGTGGGCGGACACGGTGCGCTGGCACTACCACTGGGCCAGCCCGCTCCACTACGCCAGCACACCCCAAGTCTGCAACTTCAAGTATTCTCGTATGTCTCCCTCGCTGCTCTTCGATCCCTTACCCGCCTTCCTCCTGCTCGCCGACGCAGCAAAGCATTGGCTTGCAAGTTGCAGCGTTGATTAATTTAACGGTTAAACCGTTGGGGGCTTAATTGCCCGCCATTGAATTAATCCACGTACATTGCAACTTGCAAGCCAATTCATGAGCCGAAAGCGAGCGTTGTTCAAAGTGTTTGGGTAGCAATGTTAGCGTCATTCACCTAAAGTTCAGGCACTATAGAAAAGGAAAAAACTATACATGCACGAATCATATACAGCGAAATCAGAAAATGTATTCTCAGTTTCGAAAAGGAGATATAAAATGTATTATTATATTATGTAATAGTATATTGTGCTTTAACCAAAACTAAGCAGTATATTTTGTAACGGGGCCAGGCGCCGAGAATAATTCAGCAGATAGTTAAGATTTTGCAAGTGAGTACGTTACCAAAATAGGACAAATATTCGACTAACTGACAGAATAGACTTTATATATATATTGGATTGTTTGGTACATTCACCAAAAAATAAAACGCCATCAGGTAAATGTTTTTCTAGGCTTGCGCAAGTCCATTGTAGCATTTTCCATATTTGCTTAAACGGTCATTTAGCCCATTTACACATTGTTTATATGCTACACACGATGTTCCATTTGATCGATCGTTTATCCTATTTATATGGCCATTTAGCCCAAATAATGACTAAACGTCAAATGGTCGACTGTTTAGTGTTTAAGATAACATTGCCTCTAGATTTGTGAGGTTAATTGACATTCTCCATGAAAATTTTTTGAGTTAAAATTGCCTATCTATGATGGAGATGCCACGGATATGCATCGATACCGTTCTGAATTGTGCCTCACTGGTCATGCACACTGAGGCTTCCTCCAAGTGTCATAACTCATGACCAACCGAATACCTGTTGCTTCTTGGAGAGGACAAGGGGGTTGAGTGAAGATGCAGATCTCTGAGCTGCTTTGCTTCACGCATCTACCACATGGTCGGCCTGATTATTTAGCCCATACGTGTTCTTTTCAAGCAGCCGCTTTCATCGTAATAAACACTACTTTTGCTAGGTATCTTACTAACCTCATTCAGAAAAAACCTTAACCCCATTTAAATGTTTCTCTCCGAATATTGTACGGCCGATGATGCAGGCATAAATCCCGGTGGACATAATTGAAAACCAAAAAATGGTGAACTAATAAAGGCAAAAAAAAAAGGATACTACCTAAAAAAAGAAACTACCTAAATCAGTTGCTTTAGCAAACAATCCACTGTTACTTGAGGTACTACCCCCATCTCAGAAATAATGCAGTTTTAGAACAGTACTTGTTAAATTAAAATATCATAAGTTTGACCAATAATTGATAAAAAGTATCAATATTTATAATATCAAATAAATATATTTTCGTAATAAATTGATTTGGAGCCATAGATGTGAATCTCATTTATTAGAAACTTGGTCAAATATAAACCACTTTAGGCCTTGTTTGGATGCGCATGTATTTATCTCAATCCACATGTGTTGAAGTGGATTGAAGTGAAATTAAACTAAGTTCCATCATATTCCACTCCAACATATGTGAATTGAAATAGATACATATACATCCAAATAAGACCTTAATTGGTACACAATCCATAGTTGCATTCTTTTGGGATAGAGGGTATATATTCGTGTGGCAAATAAAAGAGACGTATCTGACAATAATTGATAAAAATATCAATATTTATAATACAAATAAATAGACTTTCAGAGATGTTAAGAGCCCAGTCATAGATGTAATCTTCTGATTACTGAAAGTGTGTACCAGCATCAAGAGTTTAGAATTAACACGTGTTGTCAAATCCACATGTTTGAAGGGATTGCCACAATTCTCTAAGCCAGGAAGGGATGTGCGTCGTCGGGGCTATCAACAATTAAACTGACCAGCTCTACAGCTATGGCCAGAAGACTTCTATAGTTAAGTTTTTGGGGACTATTCCAGGATACGTGGGAAACTCAAAGAGACGTATCTGACAACCCACAAACTTGCCATACAGTGACAGACTGACAGAGATGTTGAGAAGAGCCCAGCCGGAAGTACTCTTCTGATTACTGAAAGTGTGTACCAGCATCAAGAGTTTAGAATTAACACGTTATGTCAAATGTTCCTTTCAGGGGATTGCCACAATTCTCGTGGCCAGGAAGGGATGTGCGTCGTCGGGGCTTATCAATAATTGACACTGACCAGCTCACAGCTATGGCCAAAAGACTTCGTGTAAGTGTGTGCCGAACTATTCCAGGATATGTGGAAACTTTGTTTAATCTAGCAGACCGAACAGGAGTGATTCTGTCTTCTGAACATTCATATACACATATCAGATAACCTGACGGAGAGCCTGATGTTCCTGGCACATTTCGTCGGCGACGTCCACCAGCCACTGCATGTAAGCTTTGAAGATGACGAAGGCGGGAACACGATCACCGTCCACTGGTACCGGAGGAAAGCAAACCTCCATCACGTCTGTGCTTGCACCTCTGATATAACTTCGATACCAAATTTGAGATGTACTCACCAGGTAGTCAGTCTGAGAGTCAGCATCTTGTGTTTTGCTAGGTGTGGGATGTCAGCATTATAGATACGGCAATCAAGGACTTCTACAACAAGAGCATGGATACCATGATAGAGACTCTCAAGATGAACCTTACAGTAAGTATGCTACAAGATTGATATGTAACTTCAAGGACAAGGATGCTTTTCTAGTTTCTAATGCTGTAAGTTGTAGGGTGGATGGTCTGACGATATTACTCACTGGGAAAATTGTGAGAACAAACACGCCACCTGTGCAAATGAGTAGGATTCGTATTCAATTTAGAAGCTTCCATTTCATTCATGTGTTACAGTCATACAGAATTGACATTATATGACCTTGACCATATGACATGCAGCTATGCAATTGAGAGCATTCATTATTCCTGCAACTATGCCTACAAAGATGTGGAGCAAGGTATTACTCTAGGAGGTAAGCATATATATCACTGTGATATGATTAAAACTGCATGATCTTTTGGATAACAATACTTTGAAGCTCCACATTCTGGGACGCAGATGATTATTTTTTCACTAGATACCCGATTGTGGAGAAGAGATTAGCACAGGCTGGAATCAGATTGGCGTTGATACTTAATCGGATATTTGATGGGGATAAAGCAGATGATATACTCCTTCGAGTACAGTAACAGTTGTAAAAAAAGAAGCATAGCTATTATAAGGATTGGTCCATTACTACTTCAATAAATTAGCATGAATTTGTAATAATGAACCACAGGATCCAGAGAAGTTATTCGTTTCTCTCTGCATTTGTAACTATAAACCTCTTTGTTTTTATAATTTTAATTTGTACAGGTAGGTGTTACACTAGTCCCCTAGTGGCTAGTGCTGCTCCTAAAAATTAAAGTGCAGTTTTATGTAATTCTTCTTGGTGGCTGAATATTTGGCCTGTCTGAGAACATAAGGGTTTACTCTATTTTTCATCAGTGGCTATTTAGAAAGTTTGGTTTGATTGTCATGAACAATTACTAGGAATCCCCTGACAATAAGTGAATTCAGTTGCCGGCATAAATAAATTTTAAAAAAAATGTGAGCCCACATGGAAAGAATCGGTGCCTTGAACCAATTTTATTCATATCCAGATCACATAAAATCCACCAGCTAAACAATGGAATCCTCGATACAACCACCCAATTCCAATCATCAATGTGAGCGCCCAACTGGCCCTGCCAATACCTTAGTCACCACATGAGCCAGGATCCCAACCGGGCAGAAGAACAGGCACAGCGAGACCGAATGCCTGGTCTCGATGTTGTTCTTGAGGCCGTCGTGGTACACCTGCCTGCATTGCAAATTCACACACATTTGTTAACGCGTTCCCTCGCACTCCCCAGCCCCAGCAGTGCATGCAGAACTGATGCTTGGTTTGGTTCAGTGGTGCCTGACCTTGCCGCGAAGAGGTCGACTGCTAGGAGGTGGATCCACGCAGAGGCGACAGTTATCTCGCTCGCGAACATCCTGACGATGCCCGGCAACTGCATAGTGCATGAGAGACGAAATCGTCCCATTTCTATGAGCAGCAGCTTAATCTTAACAGCAGCAGAACATTCAGACAGCGCGTAACTGTTTTAGCAGTGATGCTGCAGAAGCACCAGCAGCAGTACCTCAGGGAGCCAGTACTTGCTAGCAAACATGGCGCGCAGGATGTCGGGGGTCCAAGACAGGTAGAGCAGGTAGGCGTAGAGGAGGCCTAGGGCGACATAGGGAGCGCTGCTCTCCACGGTGCGCTTGGTCTGCGCGCAAGAGCAGAGAGACGAGGACATGAGGTGACGAGAGAGCATGAAGAGCGCTGTTAAGCTGTGAAGGAGGACGATGACTTACGATGTCGGCGTTGGGGGCGACGACCATGAGGGTGTAGAAGGGGAGGACGGCGACCGTGCCCAGGGTGAAGGCACAGCTGGCAATCTGAGACGTCGTCATCACTGTCGTTGGAAGCGAACAATTCAATTTCAGCCAGGAAACTTAAACAGATAATTCGAATGAGCAAAATCGAACTGCTGAAGGAAGGAAGAAAGGAAAAGGTGCATACATGCGCGAGGCCGGAACAGCGGCTGCGCCCTGCCGCTGGTGCCGCGGGCGCCGGCCGCCGCGAGCTCGGGCAGCAAGGGGCGCGGCCAAGAGCACGCGGTGGACGGGCGGAGCTGGGAGCCGGGCGCGCGCGGCACACGCGCCTCCGGCCGCGGCCGCAGCGCCAGCGTTAGCGGGTGGCTGCTGACCTGCAGCGACAGGAGCAGCAAGGCAAATCAACCAGCTGCACAGCACAGAACGAGGAAGAGTATACAGGATAGTGGCGAATTCTTACCCGCGTGCTGGCGGAGAGCGCGAGAGCGGACGGAGACGCGCAGGGCGCCATGTCTCGGTGGCAAGGGAAGCAGACGCGGGGGAGCACAGGTGGGAGAGGGGACGAGCTGCCATTCGAGTCGGGCGCAGGTGGACTCCCCTTTGTAGTAGTTTGTACCGCGGCACCACTCGGCACTGCTCTGCGAGCCTGCAATAGTGGCGACACTCAGGCAGGCCGGCCTCGGAGCATCTGCTTTGCAGGCTACAGCAACCAGTGCCAACAGCACTCACCTCGACCTCGCTCGCTCGTGCGGCTGCCTTGCCATGCTGGGCGGGTCGGGTCGGTGGCTGGGCCCGCCGGAGGAGGTCGGCCGGGGGGCGGTGGCGCTCGACGCGTGGGCGGGCGCACCGTCCGCACCAATCACCAACCCGCAACCCAGCATCGTGCTTGCGCTGACTCCATTCCATCATGAGTCAAGCAAAGCAACGCACAGCCATGTGCGGATGTGAGCGAGACCCCCCCCTGTTTCAATCTTCCCCCGTTCTTCGCCGCCGGCGCGGCGCTTCCGCCTCGACACGTCGCCGCCCAGGAATATCCGTTCCGCACGCCTTCGCTTGTATGATTTCCCACACGGAAAGAATGTCTGGATTCATGGTATCTGAGTCCAAACTTTTGTCCGTATGGTTGACTCTACTACTACTTCCCATGATACAGTAGATCATGGACAAATCACAGAGATCCAAGAGCTTGCTGTTCACCTCACCTCGTCATCACCAAGATATGCCGGATCATAGACAATCCCTGACATCTGGTCCAGTTACACACAAACTGCAGATAATCGGACATAAAGGTAAACCTTCTCATCTACACGACTACACCAAGAAACAGCAGATTACATGGCGCCGTTCGGCTGGTGTAAAAACCAACCGGAACTCACTGTTCATGGCTGGTTTTCACTGTTCACGCTCTCACAAGTTGCTCCGGATTCCTCAAAATTCCTCCCAGCAAACAGTTCCTTGAGATTCATATGGATTCCTCAAATAAAAAAACCCAGAAATTAACCAGCATCTCCCTCGTCCAAAAACAATCTGAAAATGGAACTCAAAAAGTCTTCACGCTCCAACATCAGACATCACACCTGCAAAAAGAGAGATCTTGGACAAAAGCACACTGACATGGGCACAGCACCACACGCTAACCTGATATCAGCGCAACAGATACATTTAGCCGACAAGCACACAACACGGAATACGATTCAAGATTCTAGATTTTTAAAACCAAAACTGTTTGCCATCATCATCTCAGATGCAGAACGAGAAAAGCAACGGTGTTAATCCTCTGGTTGAGCCATTTGACTTAACCTTCTTCGCACCCATCAGTCTACCGATTAACCCAACTCTCTGCAAAGTCGACTGCATCTCCTCCCAGGCACGGCTGCTCCTGGAGGAGATGCGGAAAAAAGAAACGGCAACTCACGAAACTATACCCTTTCGGTTCTAGCACCTATCCCCCTCTTATTCTCACCCACTGAGCTCTCTTCACTGCTGAGTCAGCCATCCCCTTTGGATGGCTTGTATAACTTAGATCCACATCTGGAGATTCTGGACAGGTATGTTTAGAAGGACAGGTGGGATGAGACCATCGCCTGGACCTTCTCCCACTCGAACGGGAGGTCCATGTCAGGAGCTAGCACGAAACCAACAGCAACAGCGAGCCCGATGACCACCAGGCTGCTCTTCAGGCAGGTGGCACCACGAGTCAGCTTTCCAAGGATCACCTTGCAATGCTTGTCTGCTTCTTTGATAGATACCTGCTTTCCAGCATCTGTTGCTGACTCCAGCGCTGCCTCATTCTGCCATAGCAACAAATGTACAAATTAATAAAAGTTTAAATCACATGAATGTCTAGGGATATGATGTGTTTAATAATATTGCCTGCCTTGGTCAAACTAGTATGCTTTGGCTGTGCATTCACAGTAGGAAATGCCTAAAGTAATATAAATGTGTTGCTCATTTTGACATCATACCCTCTAAGGCACTTCACATTGTGAGTTAACATTTTAAAAAACTATTCCTTGAAGTCTATTCAGAGAAGCAAAAAATTGAACACAAAATAAAATGTGGATGACATGAACATCTGAAATGATTGAAGTCAAACAAAGCAATTTATGAAACAATCACTTGGCTTACCTTAGCCTTGAAGGTCTTCACTGTTGCCTTGAGAGCTTCAGAACTGAGCTTAGGAGACACATCCTTCCAATCAATCACAATTTTTCTCAGGACAGCAACACTGGCTTCAATATTTTCAGGATAAATTCTTTCCTGAAAATTGAAAAAACAGGCCACTTCAGGCACAACTTTCTTGCTCAGAGCTACAGTACAAGGTCAAATGGACAAAAGACTACTCACCCATTGCTTGTAGGACTCTGCATTTTGAGTCAAGCACCAAATGAATACATCAATAGCCTCCCTGGTGAGCTCTGCATTGTCTGAATATGATATACCAGTAACAAGATGATTAGATGTGTATCAAAACAAAGGAAAAAAGGAAATATATGTTGTACAGTAAGCTACTAAAACATTGTATGTCAACTCACTTTCTTGCATTGCTTTTGCACACAAAGGTAAAAGCTGTTGTGATGCTTGTTTCACAGTTTTAGAGCCAGGAGGACCAGCAAGAGCCAACTCCTTGATTGTTGGGTAGGCTGCTTCAAACCTTTCTGTAGCCTACAGAATTGTTTTAGGTCATCAGAGCATGACTCGTGAATGTTTACTAACAGGAGCTTAGGAATGAAAAATGAACCTTCACCCGAGCATTAGAAACAGGAAATGTGGCTCTCATGAACAAGTCAAATGAAACAGGGGGAACTAGGCGTTCCCCCCTTCTAACAGCACCATTCAATAAGATAGAACGAGCTTTGATGACAGACAAAATTCTACACACAAACAATAATAGGTGTTAGAACTACAAATATTTTCAAAGTGTGTCAAAATAAAATCAGAATGGTGCTCTATAATAGAGAACACAGCAACACCATGATGTTACTAATTAGAGCTTTATACTAAGTAATACCTTTCAAGCAACTGCAAAACCAAATCTCTTGCCAGGGGATTCCCACTTGACTTCGCACATAATGTGGGAAATAGAGAATGAGCCCAGCAAAACATGCCAGTCACTAGGTCACCTTGAGATGCCTGCAGTGCATCAGAAAAGAATTGGTACAACAAAATTAATTATAAAATGGTAAAGAATTGGAAAGCATAAGTAACTAGCACAAAGGTGCCAGGTAAAAGAGTACCTGAGCAATAACCCAGACAATGATGGGAAGCTTTTCCTGTCCAAGATACTTATTGTTTCCCATTATCTTTGGCATAACATTTACCAGAACATCAGGCTTTCTTCTTAAAGCCATGGCAAGAACAACAAAGATTGCAACCTGTCATCATCAACAATCAGTCAAAAAATACCAGCCAAAAAGAAAGATGGAGCCATTCATCATTACAAATGAAAGGCCAACAATTCAGTGTGAGTGTTGGTCAAGATCAACAACTTAAGATTTATCATAGAGATAGACCTATATGATCCATAGTCTGGAAGGATCTTAATGCAAATATTTGATTCTACTCGCAAACACCTTACATAAAGGGCAAAAAGGGCACATACTGCAGACTGGAGAATCACAATTCACATTAACAATTCAATATCAGAGTCGTGAATGCAAAAAAATCAGGATCAGATGATGAACAAAATCCGCATTAGAATAAAAAAAATAATCAGTCTTCTGATCAAATAATTATGGTAACATTCAAATACTTGTACGCATATGAAAGGAGATCTAGAGAAGAACTACAGCAGGCTATTTGAATTTTACACAATCTGGAACTTGATGTACATGGAACTACAAAGCACATATTCCTATCTATAAATGTGGGATGTCAGCATATTGCTCAAATAATATAACATTTGCACGACCTACCTATTTGTTCTTCACAAGATGGTCTATAAACATACTAGCACAATACATTACTGACAGACACCAGTAACAGGGATCCAGCTCAACACATATGATTAAACATATGGCATGGCATTGGCATGTCCAGTTTATCCGCTATCTTAGCTCAAGTTGCAGATGAATAAAGTTAATCAAACCAAATGTACATTTTCATCCGTTCACCTAGATGTTCAGAATATAGTCATTTCATATCCAACAAATGGAATAAGATTCCAGCTAGAATGTTATTTGTGTTTAGAAACACATGTACATTATACATCCTAGGATGATAGTTAAAAGTCAGCATGACATGGATGTTACCTGGGCCCTTGGAGACTGTTGGGCAACCTTCTTTGAACCCTTAGGTCCTGCTGATGGGCCTGACAATTCAGACATGATGCTGTCTATACACCACAAAACAAAGTCACCCAGGGCATCAGAAGATCTTTGACTGATCCAATCACTCGCAGTCTTGATGACAGCCTCAGGAATATGGCACAATGGGATCTGCTCAACACAGTAACTAGTTAGGCGCATACCAAACATGACCAAGAAAGAGAAATCAGAGGCATTATCATCGTAAATCTCATAGTGTAATGTAAAATACAATCATGCTTGCGAAGCCAGAACAACAGTGCCAACTACCATCAGTATACGGAAACATTAATTACAGGCATAGATAAGATTTTAGCATTGTAGAATTACATAATAACAAATCAATGTGACCCACCCATGAAGGACTATAAACTTCATCCTAATATGGAAAATGCTGCTGAAAAATATATACTAATTATGCTCGCAAAAAAATATACTAATTAAATGACTTGATCCAGCTGTATACTGCAACACAATTGAGTACGCAAAATTGGTGTAATCAGAGCAACACCTCTAGATCATTGGCATGTGATCTCAAGTAAATTGAGGAGAGCTATAAAAGGCTGGGGTCAGAATTTGGATAGCCAGAGAAGAAAACAAAAGCAAGAAATTATTAGAAGAATTGCCATCTTGGATGATTGGAGTGAGGAAAGAGAATTGTCTCATATGGAGTGGGAAGAATTCAGATCATACCATTAACCAATTGCTGTCAGAAGAGGAGTTACAATGGCAAAGAAGAGGTGGTGAGAAATGGTTATTAGCTGGTGACTCAAATTCTAGTTATTTTCACAAATGTGCTAATGGCAGGAGAAGGAAGATGCATATTTCAATGCTGGAGGTGAATGGTCAAGAAGTGGTTGAACCTCACAGCCTTAGAGCTCATATCACGGATTACTATAAGAGATTGTTTAGGAGTGAAGTAGTAGCTGATATGCATTTCGACAGGGACCTTTGGCCGAGTTATCAGCAAATTCAGCAAGAAGAGAATGAATTTTTGACTAGACCTTTCTCTTTAGAAGAACTTGATGTGGTGATTAAGGAGATGAAAAACAATACGGCTCCAGGTCCGGATGGTTTTTCAATAGAATTTTTCAAAGCGTTTTGGAATATGATAAGAGGGGATATCAAAGAAATGCTAGACAGATTATATGATGGGCAATTGGAGCTATGTAGATTAAACTATGGAGTTATTATTTTGTTACCCAAGGTTAAACCAGCGACTAGTGTCAAACAATTTAGACCGATTTGCCTTTTAAATGTAATATACAAGATTATCACTAAAACACTCACTATAAGGCTCTCAACAGTGGTTGGCAGGGTGGTGAGTCAGTTTCAAACAGCATTTATACCTGGAAGAAATATTTTAGAGGGAGTGGTGGTCCTGCAGGAGGTGATGCATGAACTTAGAGCTACAAAAACAAGTGGGGTTATCATCAAGTTGGATTTTGAAAAAGCGTACGATAGAGTTAATTGGATTTTTTTAGAGAAAGTATTACATAGAAAAGGGTTTGATATGAAATGGATTCAATGGATGAATAAAGCTGTTAGAGGGGGGAGGGTGTGCATTGATCTGAATGGTGAAAGAGGGGATTATTTTAGAAGCTTCAAAGGTCTCAGACAGGGTGATCCCCTGTCTCCACTGTTGTTTAACCTTGTAGCTGATGCCCTTTCTGCTATGTTATCGAGAGCTTGTTCTGCTGGGATGATTAAGGGGCTTGTACCACACTTATTTGAAGGAGGGTTAACACACTTACAGTATGCTGACGATACTGTTCTACTCCTGCAATTTGATTTGCAAATTTTGCGAAATGTTAGAGTGATTCTTTCTTGCTACGAGGCTATGTCAGGAATGAAGATCAATTTCGAGAAAAGTGAGATTTTCTCAGTCGGACTATCTACTGTGGAGAAGAATGTTGCAGCAGAGATGTTGGGATGCAAAATTGGGGTTCTTCCGATGAAATACCTAGGAATGCCGGTTAGTTGTCACAAGATATCAAAAGCGCAATTGAGTTATATCTGTGAGAAGACAGAGAAAAGACTGGGAACTTGGCAATGTGAGTATTTGTCATCAGGGGGAAAATCCACGCTGATTGATTCTTGTCTGTCTAGCATACCTATGTACACGATGGGCGTGTATCAATTATACGAAGGCAATTTTCAGCGGTTGGACTCTATTAGATCTAGATTTTTCTGGGAAGGTACAAGCAAGAAAAGGAAGTACCATATGATTAAGTGGGAAGCTCTAAACAGGCCAAAACAGTTTGGAGGCCTTGGATTTATGGACGTCAGAGTTATGAACACTTGTCTACTTGGCAAATGGATTGACAAGCTTGAAAGAGGGGATGACAGTTTATGCTGTAACATATTGAGAAACAAATACCTGGGCCACAAAAGCATTTTTCAAGTCAGAAATAGGAAGGGCTCGCAATTCTGGAAATCTTTGTTAGATGTAAGAAATTGGTTTCAAATGGGAAGGTGCATTAAGATAAAATCAGGGTTGCAAACAAGGTTCTGGCATGACTGTTGGTTAGGAGACTGTGCATTGAAAGTAACTTTCCCTAATCTTTTCCACATTGCTGTTCGCCAAGATTTAGAGGTGGTAGAGGCATGTGTGGAAGGACAGTGGTCTTTAGAGTTTAGAAGGCAGTTGAATGGAATCCTGTGGGAGGAATGGAGAAATCTTATGATGTTGTTAGATGAAGTTTCTTTGTCAGATGGTAGAGATGAGGTGTTTTGGGCTTTAGAGAGATCTCATAAATATTCGGCAAATTCACTTTATAATCTGATGACTTCTGGAGGGGTTCAAGATGTACAGATGATGCTCATCTGGAAATGTAATATTCCTCTAAAGGTTAAAATGTTCTTATGGATGGCCACACACGATAGAATCCAGTGTGGTGTCCAATTGAAAAAGAAGAAGTGGTCTGGACCGGAAGCATGTTTCAGCTGCGATAAACTTGAAACGTCGGACCATATACTGTTCCAATGCCCCATTGCAGTATTCTTGTGGTCCTTTCGTGAATGTCTCAGTTGGCCACTGTCGCCAACAAGTTGTTCCTCGCTATTTTTAGAGATCTTGACCAAGTATAGAGGAAAAAGACAGCAGGTAACGTTGTTCCTATGTGCAGGTGCGTTATGGACTATCTTGAAGGCGCGCAATGATGTGGTGTTTAACAAGAAGACGATGACTTCTCCGGTGGCAATCATCTACAAGACATTGATGTTGGTGAAATCCTGGCGTCCGCTTTTGAAGCCTAAACTGAAGCCTGTGGCGAACGAAATGATAAATCTAGTTGCTTCTAATGCCACTGTGGCAATGTAATTCTGGGTGTGTTTGTCTAGTTTACCTTCTACTGTTCATCTGAATGTTGTTTGGTTCAAACTTGATGCTTTGGTTTAGAGGTCTGGTTTTAGAACCTTTGTCATGCAGTTAGTAGAGTTCTATGAACGGTTTAGTGCTCAAACTGTAAGCTGGTATCCCCAGCAGGATCTTGGGCTTTCATTAAGCTTTCAATAAAGCCGGGTGAAATGCCTTTGATCTAAAAAAATTGGTGTAATCAAGCCGATATTCTTGGCATGCACGTTACAATCATCACATTGATGCCCAATCAGGACTCAAGCAATCGGAGTGCCTACCTGCCACCATACAGGGAACATGCCTGTTACTGTAATAATATGGCGGCCTCAATCACTTTCCTTGGTTGGTTATCTCAGTTCGTTAAGATACGACAAAAGTGTCATAACGGTTTCCCAAACCAGAGACGTTAATGCATGGATTTTCCAAATTTTGGCGTGAAACATAAATACCAAATACATCACTACGTGCGGCTACAGCACAGTAATGTAACATTAAAACATAAACCTCCTACAGACAGCAATTGCATCTTTAGCACATCTGAAAAAAAATGATCACATGCATAAAAGACCAGCGACGTTAATGCATGGATTTTCCAAATTTTGGCGCGAAACATAAATGCCAAATACAAAACTATGTGCGGCTACAGCACAGTAATGTAACATTAAAACACAAACCTCCTACAGACAGCAATTGCATCTTAGCACAATCTGAAAAAAAAAATGATCACATGCATAAAAGACCAGAGACGTTAATGCATGGATTTTCCAAATTTTGGCGCGAAACATAAATGCCAAATACATCACTACGTGCAGCTACAGCACAGTAACGTGACATCAAAACATAAACCTCCTACAGACTGGAATTGCATCTAAGCAGAATCTGAAAAAAAAATGATCACATCAATAAATAGATTCCAGAATAATATCTAAGGATACGATAACTCACGTCAACCATCTTGGACACTGTTGATTCCTTGAACATCTTTGCCCATGGAAATTGGGATGCGCTTACAGCTACAAATGCCCGGCCAAAGTAATCAGCAAACCTCATGAGTTGAATGTCCTGTTGATTCTCGTACGATGCCTGCACACAGAACAAATAATCAGAATATGCATATACACAACAGAAAGTGTACCAACCTTTTGAAGTATCTACTCCTAGCACCAAAACCCAAAGCTCCCCGAGATCCCATCTTTACTTCCTAAAATCCGACTTTGAGGTAAGACAACCGTACTATATGAGATAGAATTTTGATTCAACTTGATCCGAAACCCCGTAGGACCTAGCATTTCGTCGGAATTTCATCAAGTCCAGCAAGATCCATGGCTAAACCCTACCCAGATCCGATCCCTAAGAAACGGACAAAACCTTGATCTGGACCATCCACCCAAGATCTGATTTTCAAACAGGAATTCGACGGAAAGGAGAGGTTTTGACGCGGTGTTACCGAGATCTCGACTAGGTGCGCTGCGAGGTTCTCGGCGTCGATCAGGGCGGCGGCCTCGGCGACCGTCACCTTAGGCTTCTTCACCTTGGGCTTCTTAGGCTTCTTCACCTCCCCCTCCTGGCGCGGGGCGGCGGCCTCGTCGGAGTCCTCGTCGTCGGAGTAGGCGGCGCCCGTGGCCGCGGCGATCCGCGCGTCGTCGAGGTCGGCCACCCTGGAGGCGAGCTGCTGCTGCAGCGCGCGGTGGCGCTCCTGGGAGCGCCTCTCGACGGCGTCGAAGACGCCGGCGGCGGCCTTGCCGTTGGCCTGCAACGCCAGATCGGGCGCCGTGGCGCGGGGCGCCTGCTGCGCCTGCTTGCGGTTGCGCTTGGGGTAGGAAACCGTCTGCCAGCCGTGCGAGGGGTCGGAGGCGGCCGCCGCCATCGAGGAGGAGCCCGCGACGTCGTCCATCGCCATAGCTGGCACGCGCGCGCGCGGAGGAGGGAAGGCGAGGGCCGAGGGCGCAGGGGAGAGGTGTGCTCTCCTGATCTCCGAGAGGCGACGAGCCGAGCAGGAACAGGAAGGAAGGCTGCTGTGACAGAGACGAGGGAGGAAGTGGACGCGCAGGCGTGGCTGGATTTTATTGTGCCCGACGAGCCGAGGGTGCCGCGTGCACTGCACCACCCGCCCCCGTCCCCCGTCTCTCCCCTCCCCCGCTCCTCGCCGCTCTGGACTCTCACCAGTCACCAGTTCACCACGCTCGCCTCCGTTTTTCCGTTTCCTCGCTTTCTCAGCGTAATCTTGTGAAACTTCTTGCGTATTTTTCTTTCTACCTCTTTCTTTTTCTGGTGCAGCTTTCCAGTTCTGTTTGTTTGGAAACAACTTTGGTGACGCTGACATGAGCTGGCCCTGGATATATGGCATCGTTTAGTTCTCTTCGAAACTTTACAACCTATCGATGCTCGCATCGAATGTCTGAGATATGCGTAGAATATTAAATATATATTTAAAAATAACTAATTATATAGATTACGACTATTTTACGAGATGAATTTTTTAAGCTTAATTAATTCATGATTTGACAATGTAATGCTACAGTAACATATGTGCTAATGACGGATTAATTAGGTTTAATAAATTTATCTCGCGGTTTACTGACATATTTTATAATTTATTTTTTTATTAGTATCCGAACACCCATACAACACCTCTATATAATATTTGATGTGACATACCAAAACTTTAGATCCGGATCTAAACAAGGCCATACTCCTAGATGTAGGCCTTGTTTAGATTGCAAGTTTTTTCACTCTCTCTCCATCACATCAAATTTTTGGACATATGCATAGAGTATTAAATGTAGATAAAAAAATAACTAATTACACAATTTGATTGTAAATTATGAGACAAATCTTTTGAGCCTAGTTAGGCCATGATTGGACAATAATTGTCAAATATAAACGAAAGTGTTACAGTGTCGAATACTAATTCCTAACCCCAATCTAAATAAGCCCGTGGTAACTGTGTGATTGTGTGAAAAAGCTGCCTGCTCAGTGTCGTATGAAGCTCATGAGTGAATCATGACGCTGGTGTCCTTGACAAACCATTCTTTTTTGGGATAAGGCATTGTTTAGATAACCTCAAAATTCCAAATTTTTTCACTTTTTTTTCATCACATCAATTTTTAGCCGTTTGCATTGAGCATTAAATGTAGGTAAAAAAAATAACTAATTGTACAGTTTAGTTGAAAATCACGAGATGAATCTTTTGAACTTAGTTGGTCTATGATTGGACAATATTTACCAAATAAGAATTTTTTTCAATCTAAACACGGCCTAAAAACGTGACGATATGTAGGTAGGAGTGCTAGCTCCACAGTGCATTGTAAATAGTAGGTGTTTCAGTGTTTGCAGCTTTCAAATCGGACAACGAAGACGCCCATTGATTCGCCGGGTAGAAGCGAAGGTGGTTGGGGGTGAGATGAGATAATGCTGTGATATGTGGCTGTGGGTGGGGCCACGCCACGCTCACTTAGAGTGGCATTCTTTCAATCTCTAGCGGTCCTCTCCTCTCTATAAAAATTAGCATATATCCCCGTTCGTATGCCTTTAAATTCAGCTTGATCTGTTTTTTTTTATCCGGAATAGTGTTTTTCTCTCACAAATTCCTCCAACATTCCTCCAAACCATCCAAATTCCTCCAGAATTCCTCCGAGCGAAACGAGCCCATCGAAAATTAGAATTATCTCATCTTCCCTCAAATAAAGAGCTACCAACTGCTAGTTCTTCGTTCACTCATTTCTCTCTTGTCTGCAGTTGTCGCCTCTATAAGATCATCATATGACCCATCACCCATGGCTGCCACCCTAAGCACAGTGTTCTTGCTTGTTGTCACACCAGCCGCGGGCGTTGCAACCACCATCATGGTCTCCGTGCATGGGTGGGACAGAGAATGTAGATTTCATACCTAGAGGAGGGAGGCGGAGCGCATGGCCGTCCCTCTAGCAGTCTTGCCTCGGTGTCTCGTCCCATCGTCTCTACTAATATCTATTAGTGATAATGTCGAGGTAGAATCCAACCATGCCATGTGTAATAGGCTACCAAATAATGGGGTAATGTCACCTTCCATGTCGTGACTTCTGCCATGAGACGGAATCACATCATTGTTCTGTCATGGAACAACAAATGGGCAAGTAAGTAATATGATCAATGCAGTTGCCATTGCCTCACCACGGTATAGACTCGTTGTGGCTGTCTTCTTTTTATACTAGCAAACATGCACATGTATCGCAACAAAAAGAAAATGCTCACTCCTACATTGATTACATGACGAATTTCGACATACCATTCACGTAGGTGCCGCGTGTCTTTTGCCCCGCTCGGGCACGAGTCCGTCAAGACGAGGTGAGCGCATGCATACGGAGTTCCCTTCTCTCTCCCTCCACGATAGAACTTGTCGATGGGGTCAAACCTACAACTTCTATTCAAACCGTCTTGAAGTCCTTACATGCATATGGCCTTCAAACACGCGAAAACTAATCAACGTTGACACTTTGGGATTTGGACAATGGATGGCAACTTATCAAACAGGCACGCAGGAGCAGGACCTGTGTATAGTTGGGCATCGCTTATGTGCCTCCATTCAAGAACGTAGTCTAGTCTCACGTGGACTGCGGTGCCGCTGTATATGGGTGGGGCAGGGGCTAGGGTTTTCTCGATCTGTGTGAGAAGGTCTTCTTTTTAGACACAATGCTAGGGTCGTCGTACCCCGCGGATCGAGTTTTTTATAAAATGTAAATGCTTAGTGTCTATTTGAAACGTAAAAAATTTACAAAAGTAGCACATAAATTTTATAATTTATATAAAAAACTTAAAAACAAGAAAAACTTTCCATGTTCCAAATATGGCCTTAGACCTTGGATGGCATGTGGTTGTGATACGGGGATCTTTTTGTGGAGATGGTTTTGTTTTGCAAGCAACTGTATTCAAGTAGGTTTTGATACTTTTTTCAGAAAAAAAGTAGGTTTCAATACTGACACGTTGTTACTGTATAAGAATATCTAGACAACAGTATTTGAGGACCGTTGTAAATTGGTATGTACTTTAGGCGTACTTGGTTCTTCTAATCGAATTGCCTCATCTGGCTTGGCCTGGTTGCACGGAGAACTAGAAGCTTGCCGCCGAGTTTGCCACTTTGGCTCTATCAGCTAGGCAAGGCAAAAACTTGTTCACACGGGTTTCGAGATCTCCAACACACCAACCAGTTTTTATCCTCGCTCGGCGAGGTGGTACAATGACCGGCGGGGGGGGGGACCAAGCAACCCCTCTGTCTATGCAAATATGAAAGAGCCTCCGTCATTTGTGTTTATGACAAACTCGTTTAGACTTGAGTTACAAAGGACAAGAAGGCATAGATTGTGGCATCGCTTCCTAAAAAAGGTATTCCCTACCTTGCTAGGGGGAAGCAACCACTGGCATGTCCCCTCGGGGCAGGGGCGGACACAGCGGTGGGGCGGGGGGGGGGGGGCTCCCCTACCAATACCGGCGCAGTGGAACCCTCTGTGGAGCCCCAATGAATTTTTAGACAAAGTTCTATAGTGTAGGGGGGCTGAGACTTAAGATCGAACAGCAGTGTTGTTCAGCCCCCCCTGAAATATTTTCTGGATCCGCCGCTGCCTCGGGGGGCTTGCCTGCGATAGTGACCGACACGATGCTATACCGGAAAGGCAAATTAAGAACACACCCATATTCGTTACGGATGACCAACCTGAAAACCGTTGAGACTTAATAGTTCCTCGTATCTTTTCTCAGTGCATATTTCTGATATGGAACTTCGTGGGTTTATTCCAAATCGGTCCGGGAAAAAAACCAAACTAGGTGGAACAAAAACAAAGGATTTTAGCAAATGTATATTTTCAATAATTTACCTTAAATTTGTTTTGAGCTCTCACAATCAACATCAACTGTGGACGATCTTACCGTCATCCTTTAACGCCCACGCCGACAAACAGAGAAAATCAGGCTAGCGCACCGAGGTCAACAAAGCGCACATTTGTTTCCCTACACGAAGGGCTGACCAGGCCCATCAGCCAAGGGGCACATGTTTGGTAGCCTGGACAACTTTCTAGGCTAGGCTCGCATGGACCTCAAAGAACTTGAGAGCCAGGCCCCTAAGAAATGAAGTGGACTTCATTTTTCAAACCCTAGCTCACTCGAGGGAGCGATGTAGTAACCTCCGTAGCTCTCACCTTTTGCTTTTTTCTTTCCTTTTTTCTCGTTTTCTTGCGCCGGTTGTCCTTGAGCTCGTTTTTGTTTGCCATAGAAAAGCTGGGGCTATAGGTGGGGGCGAATACAAGTGTCGGAGCTAGGGTGCATGCGCAGCGCCGCTGTTGTCGCGCCTGCCACGAAGAGTCAAGGTGAACGAGGGACCGTTGTCATCTCCGTGCCGCCGCCTCTATGATGCGACATAGGTCAGCCGATGAGGTAGCTAGCTAGTGTCCAAGCTATAGCTACTAGCTGGTCATCAACAGTAAGTAGAGCGCGCGAACGTATGAACCTTGGTTGGGATGGAATGAGGGAGGTGTCGCGACGAAGTCATCAAAGACGGCGTCCATAGTTGACGCGTGTGGCAAGAAGTCCTCGGCGTAGATGACGAGGCCCCCACTTGTTGTGCTGAGACGCTCTGAGCCAGGGCGCGCTTGGGGATCTATCACCGCCTCCTCGCCCGCTGCGCCAAGCTAGTGCGCACACCCTGCCGCCATGCTCGCCGCGCCGAGCCAGGTTGCGCTCCTTCGGTAGCCAGCTGCCGTGACCGTGGTTGGTGTTGCCTGCTCGTATGTCACCGGTGGAGACCACATTCATGGCGGTTGCACGATGAAAGAGATTGAGATCGAGGGACGGAGGTAGTGCTATGGCCTTGTGAACTTGCTCATGTCAACTTAGCGTTTGATGAAATGCAGTGAAGAGAGCAGGGGAAGT